ACTGCCCCAGGGAGCAGCTGGGGGTCAGCAGCTCCCCCTGTCCCGGAGGGCATCACTTGGGGTCCCAGCAGGTGTTGGGGGTCTTGCCGGGCAGCCTCTGCCCTGGGGACATGCTGGGCCAGGACCCCTCCAGCTGGGTGCTCTAGGAAACAAATCCCTACCATCTGATCCCCCTAAGCAGCTTTGAGCAGGGCCAGCAGGGAGCTTAGCCCCCCTGCCCTCAGGGGCTGCTGAGAGCCCACCCAGGGCAGAAGGGACCTGTGGTGGGTACCAGGGTGGTACCACAGCTCCAGTGGGGAAACTGAGGCACAGCACAGTCAGGACCTCAGCTCTAGGGGGATTACAGAGGGGAGAGAGGACCCTTCTGGCTCCCCAAGGTGCAGAGGGTCCTTGCAAACCCCGTGCACAGCGTACACAGCCTCTGCCAGCCCCAGCCAAGCCTGAAGAGCAGCCCAAGGTGATTAGTGAGACACTCAGAGGCTTATTTAAATCTGCTGCAGGCGGGAGGGCTCGGCTGGGCTGGGGAGGGGGCTCAGCGAAGGATTCTGAGCCTGGGAGTGCAGTGGCACAGACACCACAGAGCTCTGCCCTGCCTTGATGGGGCCAGGGGCCAAAGCAGGGTCCCACAGACAGCCGGGGCTGGGCTGAGGGGGCCCACCCCAGGCTCCTGTTCTGGGGCTGCTCTGCAGCAGAGGGTCCCAAACGTGCCATGGGTGCAGGGATGGTCTCAGCCATCTCTGGGGGAATGTGTGAGGGCACTGCCTGATCCAGGCTCCAGGAAAGCCATGGCATGGATGGGTGCTGTGGGGCAGAGCCTGGGAAATTCCCTTCCCTTCCCTTCCCTTCCCTTCCCTTCCCTTCCCTTCCCTTCCCTTCCCTNAAGATGGTTGATTTCAACTCAACAGATTATAACTCCCATCCTATAACTTTATTTATGTCCTACCTCCACCTAAGCTTCAACTCAGCCTTCACCCTAAGCAGCCTAGGCCTAGCCTTCCACCAAACACACCTATGCTAACCCACCGAGCCCCACGAATCCCTGGGGGTGGAATTCCCTGTGCCAATGTCCCTGGGTCATGGCTGCTCCTGGCCTCAGCATCCAGGGTAGAGCTCCAGGTGAAGGAGGTGAGGTTGAAGGCAGGTGCTTGGGAATTGGAAAGTGGAAGTGTCTCCCTGCCAAACCACCCCACTGCCAGTGAGCCTGGTGTGCAGCCTCCCTCTTTGTGGGTGTCCCAGCTCCAGGTTCAGTTTATGGGCTCCAGACAGAGCCAAGCACACCACAGAATCTTCTCAAGGGCAGTTCATGCAGCAATCAGCTCCCCCTCTTTACAGTCCCCAAAATTCCCAGCCAATGGGCTGTGTTGAAATGCTTACCTGAGTGTGCCAGGGCTCTGCCAGGTGTCACAGCAAGATCCAGGGCACGGCTGGGTGCTGCATGCCTGACCCTCCTGGTACTCAGCTCCCTCTGCCCAGAGCGGCTTGTGTCTCTCTGCTTTGCTTCTCTGCCCATCCTGGTGCTCTGCCACAGCCACCCTGTGTCCCTGTCCCAGCCTGGGTCACCTCAGGGGATGACAGGAGCTGGGGGCTGCCTCAGGACATGGCTATTCCTGCTGCCTCCGTCATCCTGTGCTTGCCCAGAGACGCTCCTTATCCCACGGGATTGCAGCACTGCTGCACCCAGGTTTGGGGATTTCTCCTCCCTGGGGGCAGTAGGTGCTTATCTGGACCTTGACCCCTGCCAAAAACCAACAGAGATAAAGCAACAAAGATCAGAGTTAAAGCAACAGAGATCAGAGATAAAGCAACAGAGATGTTTTATGGGATCTGTGGATTTACACCCTGGCATTGCTGAGCACGGCGGCCAAGGGGCAGGGAGGGATGTGGAAGGGATTTAACCATTTCACCCCAATTTCTGTGTCCCCCCCNGGCTGAGGGCACAGCCCGGGGGCGGGGCAGGGCAGAGCAGCCAGGCTGCAGGAACGCTGCCTGCCATCCCTCAGTCTGCTGGGCTGGAGAGGAGCACGGATTGTGGCAGGAGCAAAAGGGGACTCCTCATCTTAGAGCACCTCCCAGGGCAGAGCTCAGCCTCTCCTGCCACCCCTCTCCATCCATGCTCTCCAGGGAACAGCCACCTCTGGGTGCCCTGGGGACAAGCCAGCTCTGTCCTTCCCTTCCCACAGGCTGCAAGTGCTGGAGCTGCTTGTCTCCATCCCAGAACAGCCAGTGTAGCTGGCTGAGTGGGCTTTGGGCTGTTTTGAGGGTCCTGATGGGGTCCAGAGCTGCTCACAAAGTGTGGCTGGGTCACCAAGGACCCATGGGTGACCAAGTGTAGATCCTGTGCCAGGGCAGGGCATGGAGAGCCCGACTCACCAGGGACACAGCCATCCCTTGGATCCTGCCTGGGGCTCCCTCCAGGCTCCAGAGCAGGTTTGCAAGTGAAGATCAGCTCATCCCAGGCACCACTCAGTCACACAGCTTCTGCTCTCCTTAGGAAAGATGATTTCAAGACACTGGGACCTCCAGCCCAGTAGATATCCCCACGGGAACATCAATAACCAGGGCAGGGGGAAGTCTTACAGCTGTCCAAAACTCTTGGCAAGAATTCCAGGGGCTTGAGGCCATGGAACAGACAGCAGGAACCCTATGGATGATGAGAGCTGGCTCATGGTGAGGCAGGAATGTGTGGTAGGGGGTGTTGCAGGGTCCCATGCCCAGCTGGGCACGCTGCTGCACTGCTGCAGTGCTGGAGGGGCTTGGGGGGACTCCAGCCCAGTTTGGAGTGCTGCTGGTGCCACTGGCTGGGTTTGCCTCCTCTCCCCACTGCAGGTTGCCAGGTAACGCAACCTGCCAGCAAAACGCCGTGGGACTCCTGAGGCTGCTGCCACTCAGGATCCTGCAGCCACAAGCAGGGGGGATCCCTTTGGAATGGGATTGGCCTCAGTTCCTGGTGCTGGTGGGAGGGCAGTGATTGTGGGCCTTGAGGGCTGGAAAACAGCTGGATACAGCTGCTGGTGTGGTGGTACACCCAGACAGAGCTGTGAGGTTTTGGTGTGTTACAGCCCAGCTGGGATTGTGTGGCTGTGGGAAGAGGAGCCTCGTCCTCTCATGGCTCTGTTCTGAGAGCTCTCACTGCTCAGAGGGGACCTTGGGCCCTGCAGCTCCTCCATGTGCCCCTCGAGCTGGGCATGGCTCATTGTGGGGAGCAGCATGGGAGGGCACAAAGCCCTGGAGATGAGAGTGCTGTGACAGCCAGGACAACCACAGGGACAGGGTCCCAGCTCACCCTGTAGATCCCAAACAACCTGATATTGGCCTTTGGTCAGCAGCCACCCCTCCTGTCACTTCAGGCCACTGAGGGGCCCAGCTGAGCCCAGGTCCTGGGTGCCCATTTAAGGATGTGAGCAATGGGCATCTGCCACCTCTGTCTGCCACCATCCTCCTGCTCCTGGGTGTCCCCTGTGCCCCCAAGCAGGGCTCTGTATCTACACACACATCAGGCAAACTCCTCAAGCCCCTGCTTGCCCAAAGTTTCCCTTATTGCCTTTGACATCTCCTTTTAACCTGCACCAAGGGGCTGAGCCTGGGGCTCAGAGCTCCCTGCAGGTGGCTTCCATTCAGCCCAGTGCTCTTTGATCTCCCTCCATGGAGAGGGGCAGAAAGCCAGAGCCCACCCTGGGGCTGGTGGGGCATCCTCAGCCCCCCAGCCAGCCCTGCTGCTGCTGTGGGGTCACCTTAATGCAAATGGTTGCGTGAGAGGGAATGAAATGAAGGGTGCTTGAAGGAAGGTGTCACTCCAGATAGATGTGCACGGGAGGGGACAGGGCCTGGGAAATCTTTGCAGATGCAGCAATTTTCCCCTCATTTCTGGGCAAAGTAGTCTTTGTCTCTCTGAATCTGCAGTTTGCTGCCAGCCCAGCAATTCCTTGTGACAGCCGTGGCCCGGGTCAGGGGGAAATCACAGCCTCTGTCCCGCAGGTGTAACGAGCAGGGGAGGGGACAGGGAACCGATGGGATCGGGTGGCAGCTCACCCGCTCTACTCTGACTGTGCTGGCGCTCGAGGCTCTGCAGGGAGAAAAGGCTCCAGGTGGGCATGGAGCAGGTGCCAGGGGCTGAGCCCGTGGCTCTGAGCAGCAGCAGAGCTGCCAGAGGGGCTGGGGGTGTCAGAGACCTTTCCCAAAGCGATTCTCCCTTGCCAGGAGGCTCTGGGACTGATCCAAAGCTTTGGGAGCAGCTCTGCCCCCTCCAGCAGGAAATTATGAAGGATGAAGGGGATGAAGATAAGTTGCCTGCCATAGCTGGGAGCTGCCCTGTGCACAGCAGGTCCCCACAACACTCAGGGCAGTGTGACCCCAGCACAGCCCCACAGCCACCAGTGCTGCTTTCCCTGTGATCCCACTGTGCCCTCACGAGGTGTTTTCCCATTTTCCCCCCACATTTGTGCCCAGGGCAGCAGGGAGCCCCCCACACATCTCTGGGGGAGCCAGGGCTGCTCCAGCCGAGGATCAGAGCTGTAAATAAAACATGCCACGGGAGCGGGCGGTGCCGTGCCTTGCTCTCGTTATTATTTCATGGCCTGCTCCCCGGCGGGCTCGGCAGCTCTGCTCACTCACTGCTCACCCGTGTCCCTGCAGAGCTCCTGGGGTCCTCCCCTCCCTCACAGCCATTGCCAGACCCCAAATCCCATGCAGAGGCTGCCTGTGAGGGGATGGGCTGTGCTGATGGCCTCTGTGCCCCTGAAGGGCTCCCTGGGTCCCCTCCCTCAGAGCCATTGCCAGACCCTAAATCCTGTGCAGAGGCTGCCTGTGAGGGGATGGGGCAGTGCTGATGGCCTCCATGTCCCTGCAGGGCTCTCTGGGTCCCCTCCCTCAGAGCCATTGCCAGACCCCAAATCCCGGGCAGAGCCTATCTCTGGGGTGAGGATTGAGACCCCAAGTCCCGTGCAGAGCCCACCTGTGGGGTGAGGGGATGAGGCTGACGGCGTGTCCGTGTCTGCCCGCAGAGGATGAGCTGTGGCTACATCTTGTGCACCGTGCTGCTCTCGGTGGCCGTGCTCCTGGCCGTGACAGTCACCGGCGCCATCCTCTTCATGAACCACTACCACACGCCCGTCACCGAGCCGCCCCCCGTCATCAGCACCAACCCCGAGGAGGCCAACGCGCTGGTGACCATCGAGAAGGCCGACAGCTCCCGCATCAACATCTTCATCGACCCCAA